CCCCCCCAAAATGGGGCAGGGGGAGATTTACTCTTGACCCGTACAAAGCCCAAGGCCAGATGAGCAGTTCTCCCCTCCCCCATCTTCTGGAACTGCGCCAAAGTGACACGTGTACATCCCAGGAAGAACACTGGGGCCGGCCGCGGCCTCCCGGGGGCCTTAGTCCCACTTTCCCCACCTTATTTTAAGTAAAAACTGAGGTATGGGAGAGGAGACGGCCCATGCAAGGGCCAGCGCCAGCCGCGGGTGGATGCCTGGGCCTCGCACGAGTGTACTGACCAGCTCCTTGACCGGGACCTCATTCAGGTCGCTGAGGCTCAGGTCCAGCTCGTTGCCGTCCAGCTTGTCGCGGAGATTCCCGCCCTTGCTACCGGCCTTGGTCATGGTGACGCCGGCTGAGCGGTCCCGGCTGCAGGGCTCCAACCGACAGGAGATGCTAGAGAAGCCGCACTTTCGGCTCAGCGGACTCGCACCCAACCGACAATGCCTGCGCCCTCCGCCGCCCCAGGTGCAAGACCTCCGTCGCCCGTCCGCCCGCCGGCCGCACTCTGATGCCCGCGCCCCACTCCCACCGGTGCCGCCGCGACGACGACCACTTCCGTGTCCACGTCACCTTCCACGGCCACCGAGACGGCTGGGCTAGAGTGGCCCTAGCAGGTGCGTGAGCGCCCTCTGGCTCCTGGGATAGCGCGCTGCAGCTGCCGCCAACACCAGAGGGGTGGGGTTCAAGGCTCCGAGGTCGGTGGTGAGGCGGGGCCCGCTGAGTTCCCTGGTGACTCAGGTACACACCCGCAGGCATCGTCGCTGGCCACACTAGGAGGCAAAGGGGCACGGGAATGGGGGCCAGAAGACCTGGGCTGCATCCAAAACTGACCTCATGAGCGCAACCCCATTCTCCTGGCTTAGGAGCCGAAACTGTGTGTCCTTCAAAATTGCTCTCTGTCCTCTACCTAACAATCCCTGAATCATCATCCGGAAAACTCAGCCTCTGAATGTCTCTTATCCCCTCCTCACCGCCCCAGAGCTTGTCCAGGCCATCAACTCGCTCCTGGGATTACTCGGACTCTCTTCCTCTCATCCACCTCTACCCAGCTGCCCAGATGTTGTTTCTAAAAATCTAGCCAGATCGCTCCTGTGCTTAAAATCCTTCAAACCTCCAGCTACCCCTAGGGTATGGACCACTTTCCTTTCTAGACTGGGCCCTGCCTGCTTCTGCAGCCTTCTCATAAGCTCCAGTCCCTGCCTGGGATGCTGTGTAAGACTTTCAATAGGTTGCCTCCTCACCTTCCCTCTCCTGGAATGGCCCTGCCTTCCCCATGTCCCTCTGCTAATTCCCCCAGTCCTTCAGGAAATCTCTCTAACCACCCGGTGAACTCCAGACTGAGTCCCTCCCTGGGGCTCTGCCAATGCCCCCTATGTGCTGCCTTATTATCAGAGGTGGTAGAGCTTGGTGACTAAGGTGAGGCCTCTGGCACCAGACCAGTTGGGTATTCATCTTGGCTCTGCCTCTTGCTACTTACGAAACCTTAAGCAATCACCATGCCTTACCTATGAATACATGAGAAATGTGCATAATAACATTACCTGGTTGATAGAGTTCAGGAGGGACTGAATGAGTGAAACCCAGAAAGAGCTTGCCACAGTGACTGGCACTTAGTAAGAACCCAATAGATATTAACTATAATTCATAACCTGCCTTGTGTTATGCCTATCTTTATGTGCCTGCCCTCCACTCTGGACTGTGAGTGACAGGGGTTTTGTCTTTGTATCCCCAGTATCTGAGTGTCTGATGCATTGCAGTTGCTCATTCAAGTGTCTGTTGAATGAATGAAGTACTTTACCCACTCCAAATCTCAGTTTTCTAATCTTTGAAATGGGGATATTAAAACTTATCTTAGAGGGGAAACGTGAAGACCAAATGAAGTCAGTGCGATGGCCTACTTAGTTAACAAATCCTTGTGCACACCCCTCCCACCCCCAGTGAGGCACTATGCTGAGCTTTGGGAAATAGACAAGGGCAGTTGGTTAGTAAGACATTAGTGCTGGGCAATTCATTATCTTATTTTGATGATATACATGAAAAGACTATGGGACATTTTATTGTGTATCTTCCTTTTACAAAGAAACTCAGGGAGGAGAAATACCTTGCCCTCAATCACATAACTGGTTGAGGGGCAGACCCAAATCTTTTGATTCCAAATCCTGTTTCTTTTACTACACCCTATTTTCCCTACCCCATCCCACCCCAGGAGCCTGCAGTCAACACAAATAACTATTATATAAGGTAAAAAGAATAAGGGCCCTAACAGATAAAATCTGTATGTAAATTTCAAGGCTGTGAGGAGGTATGTGATAATGTCAGACTAACATATGTAAGTATATTCTGTGTCCTAGGACTGTGATTTACATATATTATTTCTCTTAACTCACAGCAGCTGTATGTGGCAGATATTATTTCAGTTTTACAAAGGAAGTAATTGAGGCTCAGAACGGTCATCTATTTAACTATTTAACTAATACACTACTCACTTATCAGGACTCATTTATAAGTCACAGCAAGTAAGTAAATGCATTCCCAGGAAGGTGGATCATACCCACCATCGCAGGAAGGAGGAGCCTAGAAAGAAAGGAGAAAAGGCTCCATGAAGGAGGCGGCATTTTAGTTGGGCTTTGAAGAATGCTCAGGTTCAAACAAGAAGAGACACAGTCCAGAGGAGCACGGCAGCAAAGTGAGGAATTAACAGCAGCTGTTCACATTAAGGAAGATTTTTTATGTCCCTAAGGCTATAAACTTGCATGTTCATGAGAAAGTGAAGCCTATTGTCTACTGGCAGCTTTTTCTTTGGGAATGATAGACTGGTCTTGTGCTGCAGCCTCCAAACCAAGTGCCACCTTGTGCCTGGATGTTGAGGCTGTTTGGGGGAGCTGCCAAATAGCCCTTGAGAAGCCAAAGATCAGGATCAGGATAAGAGGCAGCTGTTCTGCCCTAGCTGGTTTGACTCAGTGGCTAGAGTGCCGGCCTGCGGACTGAAGGGTCCCGGGTTTGATTCCAGCCAAGGGCACGTAGCTCGGTTGCAGGCTTGATCCCTGGCTCAGGTCAGGGCTCCTGCAGGAGGCAACCAATGGATGTGTTTCTCTCTCCCTTGCACCTTCTCTGAAAAGCAATAGGGAGGGGGGGAATAGCCTCGAGTGAGGATTAAAAAAAAAAAAAAAGAGGCAGCTGCTTCCCGGAAAACCCCTGGGGATCAGGCCAGCATTGTGACTGTTAGCTCTAGTGTGGTGTGATCCTGGCAAGTCACTCCATCTCTCTGAATTTGTTTCTCCCTCTGTAGAATGGGGATAATAAAGTGGGAACATGTGTTAAGGACCCACAGAGACATTTGAGAAGGGGCCAAATAGCACTACGCAGCATGAGCCAACCTTTCAGAGGGCAGCTGGGCCCCATTCATGGTTTGTCATCACAGCCAGAGGTGGATGGAAATAAAGACAGACTCAGATAGCCCTTGAAGATTGGAGTCCTCAAAGTACTTTTTAACGCAAATAATCTCTGTTTACATAGTTTACTTATTTATTTAAAGCAAATGTGTGGATTTGCTTTAAATACTTCCAAGTGTAGAGCGATATCCCATTTTCCTGTAAATCAGCCCATCTCCAAATAAACTTCAAATTTAAAGCCTCTACAATTAGAAATCTCAACAATATTTTTATTTTGTCCTGTTTTTTATTGATTTCAGAGAGAGGAAGGGAGAGGGAGAGAGAGATAGAAACTTCAATGATGAGAGCCATTGATCAGCTGCCTCCTGCATGCGCCCCCACTGGGGATTGAGCCCGCAGCCCGGGCATGTGCCCTGATGGGGGAATCCAACGGTGACCTACGGGTTCATAGGTCGACTCTCAGCCACTGCGTGACACTGGCCAGGTTGTTTCGTACTTTTTTTAAATGAGTTTATTTGAGCTAAAACTGATGAAAAATGCTGGGAAGCACGATCTCAAATGCTCCGTTTTGTTTTTAGAACTAGGTAAAAATGATCTTAAAATTCACATAAGAGGGGGAAATCTAATTCTTATGGAAGGATTAATGTACAAGAATTGCCAAGAACACTTCATGAAATTAAAAAAAAAATGTCACAAGGGTCCTGCCCAACCAGATATTAGGCCTTATAATAAAACTCAAAACAGCCTAGCATTGTCATAGGCAGGTATCAGTGGAACAACATAAACAGTCTGGAAACAGACAGAAATGTATATGAGTCCTTAATATATCATTAAGATTGCATTTAAAATCAAATCCATCAAAAGGGGAGTGGCTGAATGAATTAGAATGTAATTAATTTAAGGATCTTGAGATGGAGAGATGGCCCAGGATTATCCAGGTAGACCCTAAATGCAATCACATATGTCCTTACAAGAAAGTCAGAGGGAGATTGGACATAGAAGATGAGGCATTGTGACCACAAAGAGGCAGAGATGAGTCTGTGGTCACAAGCCAAGGACTACCTGGAACTGGAAGAGACAAAGAACGATTCTGTCCTGAAGCCTCTAGAAGGAACCAGCCCTGCAGTGCTTTGATTTTAGTCCCATAAGGCTCACTTCAGACTTCTGATCTCTAGAACTGTAGGAGAATTAACTTCTGCTGTTTAAGCCACTACATTTGTGTAATTTATTTCAGCAGTGATAGGAAACTAATACACTACTCATTTATCAGGACTTGGCTCAGACCTCTAAGAGACCTTCTGTGACATGCCTGTGGTAGATACCTGTCCCCCCGTCCCCTCCCCCACAGCACAGTCTCAGGGTTGGTGTCCTCTACTAGACAGTGAGCTCCCTGAGGACAGGTGCCCTGTCTCATTCATATCTCCAGACTGAGCACCCAGCATTGTGCCTGGTATTAAGTCAGCACTCAGTGAATGTCTGTTAGACCATGAATGAGGAAAGGACGATAAATTAGATTTGGTTTAATTTATCAAGACACTGGGTCTTTATCCAAGACTTTACAGTTAACTTTAGTTCTTGACTTTGACTTGAGTTAAAAATGCCATCATCCAAAGATTTTTGTCCTACACTCTATGAAAGCAAGGCTTTCACAACTTCTGGCAACTGCTGGGATTGCAGCTTACTTAGTTTTTCGATTTGGAGCTGTCAGCAAGAAAATACTGATTATTTAAGACCACATCTGCCTGTGTCCTGCCATCAATTATTAGTCGTGATCAAAATAATTTTACTCTACACAGCAGTTCAGAACAAGCTCCTTATTTTCACTCTCCATTTGAAAATCAGAAACATTCGTTTTTTAGAACAATTTTTATTAGCCTTTTTTTGTGTGTGGTATTGGTTGCTGTTTTGTTTTGCTTGATGTTGGATCTAGTTGGCAAAGTATAAACATTATATTCCAAGTCACTGTCATCTCTTCTTTCAAAATTAAAACTCCCTTCCTCATATTCCTCTCCTCTCCTTTTTATGTGGCTGCCAGCAGTCTCTCCTTTTCCTCCTAGCTCTCCTTCATGACTGCTGTATTTCTTATTACACCACTCCCTTCTCAGACACACAGTGAAGAATTCTTTAAAAGGGACGGTTTTCATATACT